CCAAGGAATTTACTTTTCCATGCCACTATTTGAATACAAAAGAAAAGCCATTACCATTTGGCAATTTTAATATTATTTCCCCTTAGGACTGACTATCCATAGTGGAAATAGTAACAAAAAAAGAACCCAGATTGGCAGGTTAAACAATGGCAGAAATAATAGTAATAAACCACAAATAGAAACATTAATTGTAGAACTAATGACCGAATGAATTGCAGAATAAATGCATAAATGACTAATGTTTTGACTTGAGTAAAATTCATGAAATTTATATTGGTTTTTGGTTTATTTGCTGGCAAAGGTAACCATAAACGTTTTGTTTAAATTAAATGACAAATGACTTGATGACTTAATTTAAATAATTAAATTAATTAATTAAATTTAAATAAATAAAAAAATAAATCATTTTCTACAGTTTCCATTTTGCTCATTTGTTAAGTTAGAAATTGTATCCAAAATATTTTGTTTTGCTCATTTGTTAAGTACGAATTTCCCTTTATTTTTTGCTCATTCATGAGCCAGCATTTCCTTTAATATCACAAAATTCCTTTCTCTTTATGCCTTCTTTTTTATGATTATTATTCTTACTTGCTAATATTTTTGTAGTGTCTTTTAACTTCATTTCATTCATATGATATATGGCGCTGCATATTACGAAACTACTTTAAATGCCCTTTCCTCCATGCTTCTCTCTTTTGGTGGGCCTTTTATAATATTACATTATGTCCTTGCTGATTTCAGACAAATTCTGGTAATGGCCAACGCGCACTCTGAAGTTTCAATTGCCTTGGCCTTGGACAACGAATACCCTGTCAAGGGGGGTGTCATGACTCTTGCCAAAATGAGGAGAAGTTTCGCTTGAAGCGCGCATGAGATTTTCTATGGATTTCTGCTATTAATTGCTGCTTAAAATACTCCCAATATTTCAGCTAGGGTATTACCCAATTCTTAACCTCTTTGTGCCTTTTTGTACATGTTTCTTTTTGGCGCCATGTTGTTTATGCTTTCTCATAACGAGACGACTCGCAACATGACAACCGCAATCGCGGTTCTGTTTCTGTTTCTATTTCTGTCTTTATTTTTCTGCACCATTCAAAGTCGGCACAGTTGGAATTTAAATGTGTAATTAAGTGGCTCAGAGTCAAGGACGGGGCAGTGGAACAATAAATTGCCGGAGAAAGTGGCAGCGTCGGCGGCGGCGGCGGCGGCGCATATTAAAATGAGTTTTTATTTCCGCCGCACTGACCGGACTTGCAAATATAATTTTGGCCGTTTGTCGATTACCTCATGGAGCCGCAGGACCCAGCTAATGGTAATGAAAATTGAATAAAGGCGAACAGAGCGTAGTAAATGTGGCATGCACCATGGGTTATTGCGTGCAAATCATGGCCGCGATTAACTGAAAATGAAGCCTGATTAATTGCCAAGCGATAGACCCTGCTGAATGCTGTGTACATTCTGGTATGGATTAATGCCAAACAAAGGGCCAGCAAATGTCATATTTTATGCGGTACTCTCGGGGGGGGCCGGCCATTGTTCCGCTGGCACGCATAAAAACACATTGACTTTTGCGACCATGAAAAATACTAGGGGGAACAGGGCGGGGGGCTGCTTGAAGCTCTGTGGAACTTGTGGTTTAAGTTTAAAGCACTTGCAAGAGCTGCCCCCATGAAACACAGACAAGCAGCTTCTGCAGTTTTCCTTAAGCGAAACCCCGCGCTCTAATAGCCCATAAATATTGTAAATATTTTCCACTCGAATGGCTCTAAACATTTTGCAGCACATTTTCTTAGCTGCTGCTTGGCTGTATTTCTTTTATGACATTTTTACTTTAATTCCGATTGATGTGCGTCGCAGAGCATTAAATAGATGAAAGTTTTAGTAAATTGCGAGTTGTAAATGCTGGAAACTTTCATTCGAGGACGAGTGGTGTTTCCGCAGCTCATTGAATTTCTGTTCGATTGGCTTAAAGGCTTTCGCAGGTCGTAAAACCCGGTCCCAGCAAACAGCAACCAGCAACCAGCAACAAACAAACAACAATGTGTCAATAAAAGTGTCAATCAAATCAATGAGAACAGGCAGCGGCGGGTACAGCAATTTTTCATACACAGATGACGAATGTGTGCGGCGCCGGCTGTTGCATACTTCGTGGGGCACGGGGCAAAGGGACAAAAAAAACACACACACACACACAAAGCAAAATGGCAATAAAAACCACTGCGGTATTTGCACTGACGTTGGCAAAATTCTCTGCGCTCTGCACTCTGCGCTCTGCGCTGTTTTTTCTTGACTAATTTTTGTTCTGTTCTATTTGCTTTTGGTTAGAGTTTGGTCCTAGAGTCCAAGGGTCAGCCCGCAGCCAACTGTTTGTTGTCATGGCAAAACGTTGATTTGATTCCTAGACGCCGCCGTCGCCCTGTGATTATGGTCGAAGCCAAAAACCTTGCCAGCTGCCAAATGTAGCTGACAAAATTGCAACTAACAGATGTCCACAGAAATAACCAAAGGAGTGTAAGGGGACTATGCAAAAGGCTAGAACGGATGCCATGAAATGCGTTTCATTTATCAACATTTGACTGGCGCCAGACAAAAACGAAAATCACGAAAATAAATCGTTGCGTTTCGTTTCGGCCATGAGGGTTATAAATGACACACAAAACTGGGATAATGCTTTGTCTGTTTACACAAGGAACAAAGAGCTGGCAGCGTTAGATACTGCTGATCAGAGATGGGGTTAAGGAAGCATTGTCTCTGGGGCAGGGCATGGGGACTTAGGGGAGGCGCTTTGGGAGCATTCAACCGCAGAGCAGCAGAGCGCCACACGGAGTGTCCTCAAGAGGAAAGGGAAAACCCATCAAATTACCGCACTCACGGGCAGACTCACGCCAGTAAGAGTAAGACGAAAAACAGGTGTTAACCGCAGACCGAAATAAATCCATCTGCAGCCCATCTCAATGGCAAATGGAGGATTAAGCAGCCATTTGTGCACCACACCGCACCCAAATTTATTGCCAAACGTGCCACACATAAAGTTCACTCGAGCGAGACAGTTGGGACTCTCTTTCCTTTTTTTGTTGCTTGTGTAGAAAATTGTTTTACATTACGAAGGGAAAACCCGTGGTTCAATGGCGGAGGGATGCACAAACAACAAACAGGCAATAAATTTACAACGGCCATATGCAGACATTGTCGAATATTAAGTGGCAGGCAGCCACCTACACGAGAGGCAGAGCTCTGCTGCAGAGCGGCCCCGAGATGTGTTGAGGGAAATGCAAACATGCAACGGCCAGCAGCAGCTTAGGGAAATGTTGCAGACCGAAGGAGCAGCTGCAGAATGCTCGACACTCGAACAGCTGGCGAGGCTTTGCCTTAACAAGCTGTCAACACTCGAAGACATGGCTGGCTCCAAGCTGCTCCCACCATATGGCCCAAAAAGACACAAACTTTCACTTCCTGCTGTAACATCAAAGGCCAAGCTAGTTGCTGTCTTGATTTCATTTGTCACGCCAATGCCAATGCCAATGGCCATAAGGCAGGATGGGGCGGGCGCCAAACGTTAATCACAGCAGACTGGCAGAGGGATTTGCACAAGGGAGCAGGGAGCACAACGAGGGGACAGGGCTTAGTCGATACAGACAGACAGACATCCCAGCATTAATTGCGCATTAATGTTTATTGCTCCAACGGATGTGGAAGTGGCGCCATTTTGTCATTTGCCAAGAAAAACACAGCCAAAGGAGCAGCAAGAGAACACAGAGAATACCCTTCGCAGGCTGTCCTGCCCTTGCCCGGAACTATTGGTTGGTCCACTTGCCATCGATATACATAATTGGATTAGGAGATTTGGTGGTGGCTAACAAGTGGAGAGGCATAATTATGCTTTGCTTTATGTAAGCGAATTTCCAAGACAAATTAAGCAAAACAAAAAAAAAACAAAGTCTGATGGGCAGTTATGGAGAGTTTAGTGGGAACGTTTGAAGTTTAACTTTTGTTGTATTTGCGGTTAAAGGTTCTAAGAATGACGTAAATATTATTTCTTGGAGTCTTACAAATTTATTAATCGATTTTATTCTGCCTTGTCTGTGCAGAAGAGGCTGTCCCTGGTCTATCTTCTAGTTGGCGCTATTCTAGACTCCATTCTTCACTCTACAATCCTGAATCTTTCGCTCTTCCGACTCTCAATAAATTGCCTGAATTCTCAACTTATTTTCAACAGCTTCCAACTTCTAGTGGTTGCATTTCAAATTGTTTTTCGCGCACTTGCTTTTGTCTTTAGTTTATTGTTTAAGCGCTTCAAACTTACTTTCAAACTTAAAAAATAATGGCAGAAACAACTGCTGCTAGTTGCAAGTGTCACACTCTCATTGCCAGCATTTTCCCCTTCAATTTTCGAGTAAAAAGCAAGTAAAAAGCATATCAAAGTTGCGACTTTCTTTCGTTTGTCGAGAGTTCTCTTTTTTCTTCCTTATGTTTTTGGCTTACAATTTGCTCGTTTTGTTTCATTAATTTCTTTTACACTCGCTGCTAGTTTGTGTCTGTCTCTGTGGGAAATTTGTTTTGTATTTCCGTTTGGAGCCAGTTCCAAATACTTCCGGCAACTTGCGCGCCATTCCGAGGCTTAAATTTATGGAGCTAGTTTGGCGAGCTGTTTCCGCCGCATTTGCCACATGGCTGCCACTGTGGCACAGAGCGCTTTTCCACTCTGATTGATTAACTCTGGCCTGGGCGCAAGTCGCGCTCTTTTGCATGTTGATTTTGCGGCTTTGCCTGCCCCCCGCCTAATGGGTTGTCATTGCTTTGCCTGAGCTGCCACATGTAGCACAGGCTCTAATCTAAATTCTGTAATCTGTTTTCTGTGATCTGTATTCGATCCAAATTATGCTGACACTGTACACTTTCTCCGCACCCAAGCAATAGACCAACAAAATACACCAACAACCTTTCACCAACAAAATGTACACACAAAATTCAGCAGTAAAATTCTTCTGAAAAATTCAACAATACAAATTCAAAAACAAAATTCGCCAACAAAAATTCACCAACAAAAATTCACCAATCCAAATTCACCAACCAAATTCACCAACCAAATTCACCCAAAAAATAATGTCAGCCAAACAGGTGAGCTTCGAGGATGTAAGACACGATCCTAATGCCCCGGAAATCCCTCCCTGACACTCGTGTTACCCTTCCAGGACACTTCCGTCTCGTCCCGCATTACGCTGTTCAACAAGCGGGCAGAGGAGCACCAAAACTGGATGGTCGTCAATCCTTTCGCTCACTACACCGTGCGGGAGATGCCCAAGCGGCTGATACGCCAGGAGGACTATGGACACGCGCCACAGGGCAGCAGATCGGAGCAGAGATCGCAGCAGGCGCATGTCCAGGCGCTGCAGGAAGTGCTGCAGCTGTGCAAGGTGATCCACGAGTTGGGTCAGCCCAGGCCCAAGACGGGGCAGATGGGTTTGTCCTTTGGTGAGCTCTTTGAGCATTACAGCAGCATCTCGGGGAAGCTAATGGGCACACTGCTGGGCGCACGGAAGCACGGCTACGTCGCCTTTGAGGGTGAGACGCTGTTTCAGAGCAAGGACGAGCAGGTGCCGGTGTGTCTGTTGCGATCCTACGACGAGCTGCGACTGGAAATCATGGCCAAGGTCGAGGATCTCAGCGGGAAGGAACAAGAGATTGCCACATTAAAGGCTTAGCGTGGCCCGAAAGCTGTCACCTGATCGCCGACCCGTGTCAAGTTGCTACGGGGTTTTGCGTATGGCACGTATGGCACCTGAGCCTTTTTGCAGTTAATTTAATTAACATTTCACCATAAGCCAGACAGCAAGCCAGCGGTGGCCCACGCATCCGCAGATCCCATCACGTATGCGACAGGCAGGAAGGAGTTCACCAAAACTCCCCCAGCTAGTCCTCCTGAATCACCCGAAGCAAATAAACAAATTACAGCAGACTTTCGAGTGTTTAAATTCCCATTGCCTAAGCCTGCTCCCAGACTGCGTCTCGGCTTCAAAGCCCACGCCAGTCGACTGACAAATTATTCGGTTACAGGGAAAAACAAAAAAAGCCTGTAGGAAGAGCTCCGTAAGTCATTTGGTTTCGTAGTCAAGCGCGTTAGGTGTTTCCAGGCACAGTGGGAACAAAGCGTGATTTATTTATGAAAGTTGAAGAAGAACTGCCATGGAAATCTATGGGATTGGGTGCTATATTTTAGACACTCTTCAATGTCGATTCTCGGAGAGAAAACAGGACTTAAATTATATTATTGTTCATCCATTTGCTTCGAGTGGGAAAATATCAAAAAGTAAACGTTTTTCCGACACATTTTGACATGAAAAATATGAAAATCAACATTAAATATATTTAGCATTTAAAATAAATATATTTAATATTTAAATGAAATTATCAAGCCACAAATTAAATAAGTTATATTTATTTTTGAGTGTTTAATAATTAAATCAATTATAGAAAGTCTGAATAAACATTTTCCAATGCATTCTTTTGTATTTAAATTCAAATTCTATTATTTTAAAGTGATTTATATTTAATTTTGTATGCTTAAATATTAAGATAATAATTTTTCTCTCCGAGTTTTCTTTTTTTATCCACCGTAAAATTATGTACTGCGTGCCGCTGGGTACCAGCTTTGATTTAATTTTACGACAAGATGAACACCACTCCACACACCACACCAGCCAATCAGCCCTCGTCCTCCTGCACAACATTCCATTGATTCCTCACCTCATGGGGCGGCTGTTGGTTGCCCTCGTACCTATCTTTTTGCCTGGCTTAAAATTGCCCCCCACATTTTACGGGGGCAAATGATTGAATAATGAAGCACAAATGGCTGAGTTTTGGGATATTTTTTGACACATATCCGTAATTATGATGGAGCAGTCGTCGCTGAATGGTGAATAATCCGACTGCGAATTGTAAATGGGATTGGGCATGGGAATGCCGAATGAAATGATCTAAAATAAACATGTTTCCTGTGGGGTTGAAGCTCAGTGAATGGAATTTTGGAATTTGTTATGCAAATGTCACGACTCCGACTGGTTGCGCACAACATCCGCTTGCTGGCTGAATTTTTTGCCTGCTGCCAGTGGGTTTATGCCCTTCTCTACCCCAGTCAGCTCTTCCTGTGACGCTCCAGCATACGATTAGGTGCTGAAAACGGTTTCGGTCCTTTGGGTTTTCTTTTTATTCTTCTGTTAAATCACAGTCCACACAACAATGCAACAATGAGAGAGCCGCACAAAGGTAAGCAAAGCACAGACTAGGCCAAACTCTAGGCCAATTGGTCAAATTCGGCTTGAACTCTCGGCTCTGTGGGGTTTATTTATTTATGTATGTACATATTCGTTGGCATGTGGGTGGGGATATCCTCTACATATGTTGCAAAATGCTCGGCAAACATTGAAATAAATTATTGATTTCCCACAGAGAAACATTTGCGCCAAGGAAGGACCCACCGAATGACCTACGATGTGGATAAAGAGCGCAAGGAAAACAGCTTCTGGCAGAGCAAATTGTAAGCTTCGTGTAAAGGCAATCTTTTGGAAACCTTTAAAACTTCCTTACAAAAACCCCGTTGAAATCTGTCCTTTTCCAGCTCATTTCAGCTTGCCGCCTTGGAAGTCCTTTGCTGCCTTGGCTGCCAGACCCGTTGCTCCTGAGGTCTTGAATTTCCGTCAAAAGTTGCGGCTGATTTATGGCCAACTTGGCGGACGTCAAAGGACACGCACACGCCGCGTAAGCCGAGCAGGCCAAAGTCGAAGCCGCAGCCGCAGCCGCAGCCGCAGCGCTGCCAGGCATTTGGTTCGCATCCGTTTCCTGATGGCTGCCACCCCGCGGCTATCTCTACTCCCAAAGGATTTGCTCACAACAAGGTAGTGGTAAGCTCTTTTTGATTAGCCAACAGAGTTGGCAACAGCATAATGCACTGCAGCCGAAATCATAAAACTGTCATTTGGCCAGCTGATAAGCGACGCGTTGCCTTTGGCCAACAACGGGTCAAAGTGGGTTGAGTCCGGCTACGGATGAATGGTCTTGTGGCCGGGCAATTGCAGGGTCAAATTTGAATGTGGCACGTGGCACGAGGCACTCGTTATTGGTTTACCTGGCTCAATTCAGATATGAGCCGAAAAATGCGTAAAATTCTGGCAGCTATTTATGGCAGATTTGTGTTTGAAGTTCGCTCAACTTTCAGTAGTTGTTGGTGAAGAAATGCTGGCTTAAAGAACAGCTTTCCAGCACTCTTTTATGCTCCTTGGGCTCTGGGTTTGGGGCTGGGTAATAAACATACAAATTATACACACATAGTACCCACAGACTTGTACAATCTTATGTATATTAGTGCTAATGTCTGTGTGGCACGGTTGCGCGTTGATGGCTGCGTCGTGATAAAACTAAAATGGAAGCCAAGCAGGCAGGCAGCGAAAAGGCAAAAGAAAGGCAAAACTTTTCAGACACATTGCCAACAATGACGCAGTTGAAGCACCCCCCGAAAGAATCTCCCTGGAGTGCTCATTATGTAAATTTGTGCCAGGCACAAAGACGCTGCTGAATTTATAGCTGCAAATAGTTTATTTATTTGCTGCATTATTGTTTATTGCACACGAAATGTACATTTAATTATGCTGCCCGGCTTTATCTTTTTCTTTGGGAGCAACTTCTGTTGATGTGCCAAGTTTTTTATTGCATTTCAATTGGAATTTATCACAAGGAGTCTAAGGATGAAAACGAAACTGAACCCATGTTTGGGGCCATGGCAAGGGGCAGCCATGCGGAAAGGTCACTGCGGCTTGACTTGGTCTTGGCTTACGGCTGAGTCAGTGGCTGTGTGGCAGTGCCGACAATGATGGAGCACTTGGCACTGCACCAGGCGTGGTCGAAAGAAATTTAAAAGAAATTATCAATCAAATCGCTATTTGAAAACTCAATTTGATGCTAAAAACCGAGGTGAACCTACCAAAGAATGCGCCCCCTAAGAGCATTTCTAATCCACTTTTATTTCACACTAAATCTTGTTAATTTCACGGGGTAGAGTGTGGGTTATATGCCTCTGTAAATGCCTTAAGGATTAGTCCAACTTCTGTTCATTAGCCCCATTAGCAGCGTGTTTATAAATTACTTCAATTACAGAATTGCGAGGCCATCAATTAAAAGGGGAAGCACCTGGCACTCCCCTTAGGCATCTTGGAAATTGATTTTAAAATAAACAGCAGCTCTCCTTTTAGTTTAACGACAAATCAATGACTAATCAATTGCCATTTCCAGCTGCTGTCTCATATTTGACAATGGAAAGCGCCTCGCAGCTTGCCAGTCCTTTGGGTGGAAAGGTTTGGGTGTTGGCAATCCATGGCCTGGCAAATTTGGTTGTTAAATTGTCAAGATTTAGCCAAGAGTCTGGAGAACATAAGGCAAATATTAAGGCACTCAGACAGCTGATTCAGCTTCAGCTCCAGCTGCTGCAACTGCATTTTCGGGCGTGCAGTTTTACCCAAATGAAAATGAAAATATTAAGGGAATTTGCGTTTACGTAAATTTCACAGACAGCACAGCAGAGTACGACCCAGAGCAGCCTTCTGCTTGTAGTTTCTGTCCGTTGTTCTAAGCCAAATCCAACTGGGAGAAATAATTCAGGTTTTTGGTTACGTTCGTAAATCTTGGCAGCCAGCAAGGCGGGATTAGGTTCTCCCAATCGAATGAACTTCTCACGCTCCTGTCTGTTGGTTTCTGGTGTCTGATCGGGTCTCTGGTCTGTCCAGCTGCTTAAATCTGCGGAAAAGAGTTGCTTAAAATGGCAAAAGACACTTGCAGAAATGATTGCAGCCGCATAGGCAGGATATACTGAGGGATACTTCCTCCGACAGACTGACTTTCGATTAAGAAAAGAAAATATTAAAAAATATGCAAACGGAAGCCCCGTGAAACCGCACTGACAAGTTGAGGGCTAAGAAAACGGAATTCAAAGAGAAAATAAATCAACAAGGAGTAATCCTCGGAGTTGTCTCTCTCTCTCCCTGAGCTCACGCACATGCCACAAAACGGATCAAGTGGGCGGGAAAGCGCCAAAGAAAAGCCAAAAAACGGTATGTATTTTTATGTAGAATGTCTGTGCGGATATGGAGAAATTGCGTCAATGGCAAGCTTCAATTGAATTAAAGCCAACGCACGGGCTGGTACTCAAGCACTCTTGGGGCTTCCACAGTTGATGCGGAATGAAAGCAGAGCTGATGAAGGCGGACGGATGCGATGTGGGGATCCCCCCACATATTCAATGATTTGTAAATGTTGCATAAATGAGAGTACAAAGCGGAGCACTTGCACTCTGCATTTCCATTATAATAATCCACTTTTGGCAGTGAATAAAAGTACGAAGTTTACTCTCAGGAGTGGTAAAGAATTTGTAGACTTTTGAGCCACTCTGCACCCAAAGAATGCTGCTACTTCGAGCAAAAATATTTCACATTCTGCTGGATTAAACATTTCATTTAATATAATTTTAATTTCATTTTAATTCCTTTGAAATACCCACAAAATGTTTACGTTTAAGCAGACTTTTTGCTACCGATTTGAACTATAAATCAAATTGTTTTATTAACTTTTATAGACTCGCATTTATTACTCCTCAAGTTAGAGAATTTCTCCCAAATTAAATGCAAAGCCGCTAATGACTTTTGGGGTTTTAAGTGCCAAAACTTTTCAACTTCGACAAGTTCCCTTCTCCAACTACAACTACGAACAATAAAATTAATTTCCTCCAACGCGTGGCACATTTACCTTGCAGCACAACGAACCCCCTCCCCCAGCCCTTGCTCCACGCTTTGTTGTGCATTTCCGCAATCGAAACGAAATAAATAAATTATGTGCGGGTCCGGGACGGTGTGTTCTTCAATTGCTCAAAGTGGGTCGGTCGCTGCGCCTGTGGGTCATTAGAGAGAATATAAAAACTTGATTGCCGGCACCGTGGCATTTACTTGCCTTATAAATAGTCCGAATGCTTTTACTATTGCCTCACAGCTGCCCTTAGCCCACCTAAAATTATCCATTCCGCATGGCCTGTGTTGCAGCAACACATGCAGGTTGCAGTAATAGTGGCGCCAGACACGTTTTATGAATGAAATAGTGCCCCCGCACAGCTGTGGGGCAATCCCCATGCCCGGCAACATGGAACGCGGGCGCATGCTCGTTGGCAACAATGTTGCAGGCATACAAGAAGCAAACCATGTTGCCTCGAAGGCGCCGAAGACAGCAACATTGTTGACCAAGAGTTGCCGGAAAAATCTGGCGGAATTTTGGCTATTGGCTGGCGGCACACAGTTGGCTTTCAGCATTCAATGTGTTTACGCTCCGGACGGGGTTCTACTACGGCAATTGCTAACGGATTTGGATTCGAAAACATTGTGTTTAAAAATATCAACTTAAGCAGAGAGAGAGAAAGATAAATCAAGGAAGAGCGAAGAGCAAGCAGAGAAAGTGACCCAAATGAGAGTGAAAGTGCAGTGAAACTCTTCCTGAAGAAATGCCACATCCAACCCGATAATTGGTCCATTTGATGCCCCATTGCCCATTTGCCATTTGCCATTATCCACGCAGATCGAAAGTTTGTTTAAAGTGTAACCGGGCAGGGCAGTGTATCGAAGATTTATAAATAAATAAAAATATATTAAGTGGATATATTCCGCCCAGAGAGTGCGCGCTTCCCAACAACATAAATAAAAAGAGAGAGAGAGAGAGAAATGAATTCCCAGTGAAATGTGAAAACAAATTGTTAAATTAGCCCGCAGTCCGCACCCCACCACATCGACACACATATGTGACATATGTGTAGCGAGTATCTCCGAAATATAATTAACCCCATCGAGTGAGTCCTTGGCATTCAGTGGTGACAACCCCCCTACCGCCATATGCAAATGAGTTGAGGATTTCTTTCCCTTTTGCACGCACTGCAAATTCAATTCCCAAGGTAAGCAAATAAATCTTAATAAGATTATTACACACACACACACACACACACACACACGAACAAATAATAACAACAACAAAAACGGCAGAAAACATGTCATAAAAAATGAATTTCGTCGCAAGAAAGGAAAGTAAAATTGTCAAGTGTCTGTTTTTATTATCATCCGTGAGACAGCCCTTGTGTTCGGGCTTGGGGTTGGGGCTGCTATGGATTGGCTCTGACATGAAGGAAATGCTCACGATTTTGTTGTCGATAAGCCTCAGCCCATGTTGCATATTAAAAAGATTAATTTATAGCTGTTGGAATAATGCTGATTCCCATGTGGATGTGGCTTGCTGACAGCCACATTTCACAAAGACATTTTTATTGGTCCTATTGATGGCAGAGAGGAAAGATGTGGAACTTCGATTCAGCTGTGGGATGCAGTTGACATCAATGGGTGCATTTAAATGTCACTCTCAAGGATAGAGTGTGTTGGCAGCGACAGTGGTTAATAATTGTGGTGGCTTCTTTAAATAATATTTTAAAGATTTATTTGTTGGAAATTAGCAGAAGTATTTGAATGATTTTTCATTGAATTGGGGAAATAATTGTTAAAATTAATTAATGAAATATTAAATAATAATTAGGAAGTGTTTTTTCTATTCCCACTTTAATCCCAATAGAGATTTAGTAAAGATTCCCATGGGTATTCCCTTTCTACTCTGTTTGTGTTCTTTTTGGGAGTGGAAACTATTGAGGCATTGCATTCCATCAGCATGTTTTCCATATAGTTGAACTCTTCAATTTTCCAAATGCATTGCACGGATACGACCGCAAAGATGTGGGCAACCAATGCCTAATGGATCCTAATGTCTAATTGCATCCATGTAATTAGCAGGAAAGGGTTTTTTGGTCCAGAGAGAGGCAGTCGAAACCTCGTTTATCATTTGATCGTTTAATGCCCCCACATACAAAACACGACACAACAGCAACCATTAGAGGCACACAAAATCCACAAAATGTAGGCGAGAGGCAAAGTAATTAAATGTTCAAATAAATAATGGAAAATGATGAAAATATGTTATAATTACCACCAAAAAATAACTTATTTAGTACAGCTAATTGAATAGAATTTGAAACTAATCGTTGTACTCACTTTGCGCTATTTATTCTCAATCAAAACAATAATTATTGCACTTTAATTGTTGGGCTTTCGGGGCCACAAACTGCTGGCAGTAATCCCTCGAGTGTTTTTGTTATTTAGTAACAATTTTTCATTTTATATGGCAGCGTTGAAGCATCGTTTACTTGGCAACAAAATTGAAATTGTTCGCAAAGGAATTTTTTGAGCAATTTAATTTGAGTTCTTTGTGCCGCGATTGCGCGCCCAGTAGATGCAGTTCCAAGTTTAGGCAAAAGTAGCTGCAAGTAAATAATTGGAAAATGTTAGAAAAGTGTATCAAAAGTGAGTGATAAATAAACAGTAAACAAATCAAAAATACATCAAAAATGAATCAAAAACAAATCAAATATACATCAAAAACTGAATGAAAAATATAACCAAGATAAATAACAAACTAAATAAAGTTAAAGCAAACACCTAACTTAATTGGGTTTTGGTTTTCTTGCTCAAATATGGTCAAGTTTTTCGTTTATTTTTCTGGGGATTTTTTTTTTTTGCCCTAAGCCGAGAATATTTCTTACATTTTCATTTGCCTTTCGGCCGTTACTAACGGATTTCTCAGAAGAATTTTGCATTGCATTTGGCACACACTTTTGCACCTAGCCCATTTTGAAGCCCTCCCTAAATGTCAGATAAACTGACTCAGGTACAGACGCAGACACAGACACAGTTTCTTTGAAATTTATTCACATGTGGCTGCTGCCCACAAACTGCATATTAATTAACTAAATTCTGGATTCATTTGCATGCGAGGCAGGTCCTCCCCCTCTGGCAGGTGCAAGCAGACTCTGAAAGTACCAGTTATCTGTGTGTGGCTTGGCCTTGTCCTGCAACGTTGTACATGTTCCGCCTGCTGTTTGCTACTTAATGTCGGCCATGATTAAGTACACGCCGTGTGGCCGGGCAGGCAACAATGCAGCAATTATTTAACCTAAACGCAGCATTCAGGGCTATTAAATGGCGGCTGTTACCTGGAGCCAGGGATGCGCTCATTAAATGCTAAATTCCAACAGAAATATGTAAATGACAGGAACTCAAAGTACTAGTCCCAGTTGGGATATACAACTCATAACCATTCCCATTCCCATTCCCATTCCCATTCACAATCCCCCTTTTCCGCCATCATTTTGGTCCCTGGCAAAAGTCGCATTTCTTTTCATTTTCGTTATGTTCCGCCGCGCAAAAGCAAAAGCCTTGAAACTGTCAACTAAAAATAAATCGCAAAGAGCTTGCTTATCGCTCTCTCTCCCTCTCACAGTGTCTCTGGTCTGGTCTGTCTCTATATAATAATTATAATTTTTTGTGTGTGTTTTCATTTGGGTACGCCAACAAAGATTCCCACCACTTTTATACGGCTATGTTTTATCTGGCTTTTATATGCTCGACCGCATGTTCTTGGCTATCTTTTGCCATCGCTTTTCGCGTGCGACAATCTCGACAAATCTATATACTAGACATAATACATACGTATAGGCACCAAATTCCGTTGGCACATGGAATCACAATGGAATAAGTTAATATACTTAAGCTGCTTTAATTAAATAAATTTCAGACAAAAATATGCCAAGCAAAATTGTGATATATTTGCCATACTTAAGCGAATATCCACATATCCTTAATATAATTTATGGCTGCTCTAATTGATTATTGCCAGCTGCAGCACAATCAATACGGTCTGCCCCCACACACACAAGAACCCTTTTCAATGTGAGAAAAATTGTTGAAAGGGAAAAAATGTAGAGCGGAAATACAGCAGCAAGGCACATGCCAAATCCCAATGACAGAGGGCGGACAAAGCTAGACAAGACGGCGCCTGGAACCATCCAAAAGGCAGAGAGATCTACCAGGCAAAAGCAAATAAAAGATACTTAAAACAAACCCAAAAGCAGAGCAACACACAACCAAAAGTGCCATCCACATGCAAATTGCTCTCTAAATTATTAAGCGGAATTAAAGACATTAATTGAAGCGAGGAGCGTCAGAGCTTCTGTCGTGCAACATGTTGCCTGCAAATCCACTTACTGCCATTGATTTCCACTGTATGTAGGTGAATAAAATTCACAGTTAATGCTGCACATTGCCTTTAATTGCTGCAACATTCAAATGTGCAATTAAGTTCAAGTGTCGGCCTTGGGCATAAAATAGGAAGTGAAACACGTTGCAGAAAGGTAATCCCAGTTGACATTTTCGACTGGCAGACACCCATAGCTGATAGTTGAGAGTTGTTCAAGCAGATCTCTGGCTAAAGAAGAAAATAATTCAAGCATAAAATTTCCCACATTAAACCAGCCAATAATTATCTCTACCTGCTGTCCATGACATAGATTAGTTACCACAGAATATACCCCTTGTAGTACCGTGTATTTAAACGTTGAACCCTTAATTGCAGGGGGGGTAGACAAAAACTGTTTGGTTCAACCAAAGTTCACACAACTCACGCCAGCTGTGGTCCATGGTTAAAAGCTTAAAGTTTTTTTTTAGTTTTTTTAGTTGGTGTTGAATGTGGAATAGTCGTTCATTTAAGTGGAGTTTCGACATTTGAGCCACGTAATCTGCGGACAGACAGTCGGTGCCCTGCATGTGGGGCATTTCAACCATTCAATGTACAATTTTCGCTGGCAGCAAGGAATTTCCCATAGCATTGGAATTTTTATTCCATTCCTTGATTTTTACTTTGCTGGCAGGGCGCTGAAAAAGTTCAACTGAAACGAAAGTGCAGCCGGAAAAAAATACAAGAAAAGAAAAATATAAAAAAAAAGGTAAAAAACAAAGGAAAAACAGCAGGAAAGGGAAGGATAATTTCAAAGGCCGCTGCTTTAGATACTCTAACAGATATCCAAACAGGCGGCTGCCACAAAGCTCCATTCAAAGTCCAAATACCTTCATAAAGGCTCAAATCAAAATGGTGAAAAAAGCAATCCAAGTGCTCGGCAGAACGATAAAACTGTAGGCGGGCTTCGAGAGGCAGAAGCTTGGCCCGGAAAAGCAATTTCGGGACTGGTCGTGTGGGCGATTTACCAATGTCAAAACAAAACAGAGAGAGAGAGAGAAAAAATGAGCGACACTCAGGACACGTGCAGGTCGTCAAGTGTGGCAAAAAGGGTCACAAACATTAAAACTAATTGCCGCTATAATTGCTGGGACAGTTGGAGCACCAAAAATGCGCCGCCTTTAATTGAGATAATCGCATTAGGGGAGTCCAGCAGCCAGAGTGTAGAGCTGGGAGGCAGCAGCCAGAACTTGGGTACGACTTTCACTGTTTCATCTGCAGGCGAAAGTGGCGTGTTTCGCTAACCACTTAACATGCAACCTGGCAGCAGACTGGCAGCCATGTAATTTACAGCCCGCTGCACAGATAACAAATGCAAATGTCGCCAATAACACGCATACGTCACGTGGGAGCGGGGCCACGTGTTATGCTCGTCGCTCACTCCCTCAACAGAGCATCCTGCGGCTGAGAGTCTCTGAATAAATGAACAAAAACCCCCCAACCACAAATACAATTGCGGCTGCACTTTGTTTTGTCCTAACTTGGCCATAAATTACATCAGCAAACACAATGGGCATGGGAATCAGTTGCGGCATTTCGTATCGGTTATTGAATTCATTTCTGCTTTGACGAAAAGCGGATAATGGGTGGGAAAGAGCCGAAGGAGGGTGGAGTTACCATGTGTTTCTTTCAGTGTACATTTAGCTACGGACAGCATTATGTCGTGCACTGTATTGTGCCTCTGATTTGTTTGGCCACTTGATAAGCCAGAAGGGCCAGTCACTGTCCGCTGTCCGTTGTCTGCTGTCCGCTGTCCCCCAGTCAGTGAACTGTGCCCGTATCCGTATATCTGTTGGCTCACAGCGGTGTCACTGTGTGTGTGTGCGTGTGTGTTAGCCACTTAAGCTTGATTGATGTGTCAAAAATGTGACACTTCATTCCCGCAGAGGAGTGCGTGTGTGGGGGAACACTTCTGACATTTACACGTGGCACAAGTAGAGTAGTGGGTATTGAATCGAATCCTGAACCGATTTAGTGGCATGATTTGGCTAGTTAATTGGGCTGTTAGGATGCTGCATTAAAGTGCTGTGTACCTGTGCAATTTATTCATATTTAAACTAATTTCTTATCTTTTGGGGTTTCCTTTTCTGCCATCAAACTGATAGCCGAGCAGATAGTCGTACATTCAGATTGACGGGCAGCTAATTGGTATTTGCATGCCACAAATGGATGGCCTTACTTTTGTGTGCATAATTTGCTAATGTTTATTAGGATTTTGCAAGCAAAGATTAAAGTTGTTGGCAGCTGAAACATGCCAATGTTTGAGGTCTTTAATGGAAAACAATTTACAATTATCTTTGCATGGAGCCAATTAAATGCTAAGCTGTTCAATCAAGCGAAATATTCATAAATGAATGAATTAAGCAATCACAAAATAGATTTGCCACGGCTCGGCTGCCACTCCAATCCCATTATTAAACACCTGAGCTGAGCCCATTGTGGAGTCTCATGTGGCGACTGCTGAGCCGCTTCTCAGAAGGATCTCCAGGCCGCAGAACAATGCAATTACAAAGCCATTGTGTAACCGAATAATCCTTAGCTCATTAAAACATAATTGCCACAAATTACCCACAAGAATTTCCAGTTAAACACGCACAAAAGCAACGTCCCCCCTGCCCCGCACATGTCGCAGGCATTGCCTCAATTCCTGGCAAATCGATAGTCCTTTAGAGTAGTCCTAGTAGCGTAGCACCTTTGCTGTGACCCTGAGAACTAAACGACCTTCCATTTCTCATTTCCTATTTTGCAGCTTACAGTGTCAGCGAGGCGTGGCGTGGCGTGGCGTGGCGCACCCGGAACCAGGCCAAGTGGCAGGCTAAAAGCTCTCAACGTGCGACCCGTGACCGACAGGTGGAACAGCAACGAAAGCAACAAAAAGCGACTTGTGGCCGCAGGATTGATGTTTGTGCAAAAGTTTGGGGCCAGCTGCTCAGATGTTAGCCAAAACCCAGTAACCGGGAATCGAGTGTAGCCGCCGCTGGAGCGAGTCCCCCCCCCCCCCCCCCCCCCCCCCCATCCACACCTAATGAGCGGTGCCGCCGCGCGGCTGCTGCTGCGCCTGGAGCTGCCGGCAGCGGGCGTGATGCCGCCGCCACCCACCGACTACGACTGGGGGCCCATCAGTGAGGATGAGTTCCTCGCGAGTGCCACGGCCACGGAAACGGCAACAGCTACGACCCGGAGCCACGAGGATGCGGTGCGCTATGAGCTGGCCGACATCCTGGGCAGCACCGTCTCCACGACGCTGTACGAGCAGGTGGTGCAGCAGTTCCTGCCCGCGCTGAGCAGCGCCAACTACACGACGCACCCAAATCACACGGAGCTGCAAACGGATCTGCTCTATCCGCACTACGACGAGGCGGACTTTGATCTGGAGCCCAATTGGACGCGCACCTGCGAGGAGGTGTACAATCCGCTGCTGGAGAACAATCGCATTGAGTTCTGGGTCTGCGGCGTGCTCATCAATATCGTTGGACTGCTGGGCATACTGGGGAATGTGATCTCAATGATTATATTGTCCCGGCCGCAGATGCGGTCCAGCATTAATTATCTGCTGACGGGTCTGGCACGCTGCGACACGGTGCTGATTCTCACCTCGATTCTGCTCTTTGGCATTCCTTCGATCTATCCGTATACGGGTCACTTTTTTGCCTACTACAACAACATTTATCCATTCATCTCGCCGGTGGTGTTTCCCATCGCCATGATTGCGCAAACGTCGAGCATCTACATGACCTTCACGGTGACCCTGGAGCGCTATGTTGCCGTCTGTCATCCGCTGCGCGCGCGTGCCCTCTGCACCTATGGCCGTGCCAAGATCTACTTCATAGTGTGCGTGTGCTTCGCTTTGGCCTACAACATGCCACGCTTCTGGGAGGTGCTAACGGTCAGCTATCCGCTGCCAGAGTCCGACACGGTGCTGCACTGCGTGCGGCCATCGAAGCTACGCCGCAATCAGGCGTACATCAACATATACATACACTGGTGCTACCTGATCGTCAACTACATCATACCCTTCCTCACCCTGGCCATACTCAATTGCCTGATCTATCGGCAGGTGAAGCGTGCGAATCGGGAGCGCCAGCGCCTGTCGCGCTCCGAGAAGCGAGAGATCGGCCTGGCCACCATGCTCCTCTGTGTGGTGATTGTGTTCTTCATGCTGAACTTTCTGCCGCTGGTGCTGAACATCTCGGAGGCGTTCTACAACCTGATCGACCACAAGCTGACAAAACTCTCGAATCTGCTGATCACGATCAACAGCAGCGTCAACTTTCTCATTTATATTATTTTCGGGGAGAAGTTCAAGCGCATTTTTTTACTCATTTTTTTCAAGCGACGGCTGAGTCGTGACCAGCCGGATCTTATACACTACGAGAGCTCAATATCGAACAACGGCGATGGCACCATCAATCACCGTTCGTCCGGCCGCTTCTCACGTCACGGCACACAGCGCAGCACCACGACGACGTATCTGGTGGCCACAGGTCCCGGCGGCGGCAGCAGCTCTCAACTGAACAATGTCCGACTCACACAAGTGTCCGGCTCCCCGGGCCTGGTCAAGATCAAGCGGAATCGTGCACCATCGCCGGGCCCAGTGGTGTACTTTCCGGCACGCGAAATGCAGCGCTCCGTGTCAACGAATACGAATTCGGCGACGAATAATAACACAGCCATTGGCTATGACTGGACGCTGCAGGATAGCAAGAAGCTCGGGGGACATGTCTCCTCGGGCTTTTGAGTGATGCGAGTCACGTTTGTACATATACAAAGAGATCAGGCTTTATCTAAACGAATCTATAATGTAATATAAATATACATAAATATATTCTAAGTTATGTTAACTGTAGCCTGTATGCGCTCCAAGCGTTGCGTTACTTTGTGATAAGCGTTAAGTGTTTACTGATACCACAACTACTGCTCCTTTGCCTCTTCTTGCTGCTACTTCAAGTCCTACTAAATAACACGCCAAAGTTTCCCCCATGCAGCTTCCTCTTTGCTGCCCAATCAATCGAATTTCTTGCCCATTTTGCACTAAATTAGTCAGCAAAACTTTTTCGGACAATATCATTCTGGTGCCTCCACACGGACACAACTTTTCTGTTTCTTTATTTATTAGCAAGTTTATTTTTGGGGCGCTTTTAATTAAATATCCCTTCGAAAGTATTTCAGTCAAACTTGATGGATGATTTTGCCTTTTTCCACCCCATGATCTTGTTGAATGATTTTGGGGGTTTTTTTTTTCAAAAACTTTTTTGACTACGGCCAATCTGTCAACTTGTCGGAAAGTTTCTCAAACGCTGCTCAAAAGTTCAAAGTCAGAGGGAGGTGCCACGCCCAACAACAACAACAGAAACAAGAAAAAGAAAAAGACATTTTCAGGTGTTCAATAAAATAAATTGAAAGAAAATATAAAAATAAATAGAAATCTTTGCTATTGTATAAAAAACTAAATATATTTAGGAGTCGCGTGTGTAAATATTTCGATATAGCGTGTGTCTATGCCAAGCATAAGTGATCAAGGATATAAAAAAGGAAGGAAAATGTACCGTTTTGCCATTGAAAATAAGTCCAGGAATGGGAATTCAAAGTCAGCCCACAGCGCCATGAGCAAAGTTCTGCAAACAAAAAACACAAAACAAATCTTAAAAAATGCATAAAAAATACAAATAAAATATAAAATTAAATAAAACAAATACTCATACTATAATTTAGGCAAATTCGAATTATTGATAACTCAAAACCAAAGGAAACCGAAAGGGCTTTGGCTTGGAATTCCCATTTTGTTGCTTCTCTCAATTCAAATAAATCAAATCTATTTATTTTAGACTTAGTTTAGCTTTTAAATTGTAACTATAGTTGTGTCGAATACGTAACCGAAAAGTCGTCATAAATAATTTCAACAAATTGAGCAAAAATAAATGATGATGAGAAAAACTCCATGAGAATCTTTCATTTGTTTGAGTGGCGCATAATGGGCAAAACGCGGCGTAGATTTTCCACAGATTTCAAAATAGTTTGCGGGGGGGGGGGGGGGGGGGGGGGGGGTGCTGGTGCTAGTTGAACGTCAACGCGGTAGCCGCGCTGCAGTCGCTCGATACAGGCCCGAAGTCCTGGCACTGAGTTGTCGCCGGCAGCGGCGAGCACGAGGAACGGAAGACACCCACACAGAGCCCGCAACGCTCGAAGAAAGCACACAACAAAAACCACGACC